CACAATGTGGGCGGCGTCGGTGAGCCAAAGATGGAGTTGATCGCTTACGCTGCCGTTCAAATTCACCGGCAGGGTGACGAGCATCACGTCCCTTTCTTCAATCGTCGCGGTGATGAAGCCACTTTGACCGCCAGATCCCTCACGCTCAAGTGCGTTGTCCCACACGCGCGAGAGTGTCCCAAGCGCCTCCGTCCACGTCTTCCCCATATTGCTCGACTCGTACACCTTGTGGTGGCCCTCCTCACATGTAGTCATCATCAAAAGTCTCCCGCTTCCCCACTCCACAACGGCAGGATCCACGCAGCCCTCGGCTGTCATCCCCTGCGACAGCCTCCAATCCTTCTCCGCGTCACTGGAGTACATGATCAGTGAGACCTCTTTGTTCCCCTTCGTCATTGCATTGGCGGGAAATGCAAGCGTACCGTTATTCGTCACAGTCCCCGCGCCACCGCCGACAGAAAAAAACTGAAACGATTCCTTCAGTTTTGGACTGAGCCCAGACTTAAAGGTGCGAGCCTTCCAACTGATGGTTTTCGTTTCCTGCTCATTCTTTTCAACTTCCCCAACAAGGAGCCAGGGGTACATCCAACTCGTCATTCGAGCATCCTCCGCAGAATTCCTCTCTCTCTGGAAAAGAAGGTAGATCTTACTGCCATTCACAACTGGCGTAGGGTTGTAGAAGTCCGCCGCAGCCACACCTTCCGGCATATCGTGATGGCACCTTCCAGAATATTGACGGCACCTTGCATCACTGAGGTTTCCCCATTATAGTCAGCGAGCGCCCAGACCGTACTCGATGCAACGGATTCAACAAGCTTCGCCAGGAGCGTTCCATTTCCCTAGCTGTTGGTTTGTGCAATGGCGAGCACCTCATCATTCACCTCAACAACGGACGGAACGGTGATTGAAGTGACGGGTGACCTCGGAGAGGCAGCTGGCGACGCCCCAGGAGAGCCTCCTCCTCCTTCTGTTGTTCCTGAATTCGGGCCGACCACGTTCGCATCGGCGAGCACGTCCCAGCTTCTGCTGCATATCAGCACGCAGAGAAGCAGCAGTGATGTAGAGTAAAACCTATGCCGCAACATTTTGGGCGGCCGCCGCTCAATTCCTTCCCTCCTTCTGCTGGATCTGGTCAGGCCGCGACGGTTGTGTGCGTGGTTGAAACTTGACAGCAACAACACTATATATATATATATATACGCTCTATTATATGCTTGTGGGCGGGGTGCGTGTGTGTTGCTGGTGATGACTGCAGAGCCTTTCAAGGTGCTGAGTAGCGAGTCGCGTTTGGTCTCCTTCCGTGTGTGTGTCTGTGTGTACAGCGACGGGAACGCAACAGGAGCAAGCAAACACACATCGGCATGCGCTCGGAAGGAAACACTGTAGACGGCAGTGAAATGCAGAAAAACGAGAGACACGCTCAGCCCCCACGCAAGGTGCATGAACGGCGTCACAGAGATACGTTAATAATAGTAATAATAAAACATCCTGAAAAAAAAAGAAAAACAAATTCAAGTCTGGTGTGTTGCTCCATCAACCTGCGCTTCTCGCTATCACAAAAAATGCGTTTATTCTGATTTGGCTGCTTGTCTCCGTTCACACTCAATGGGTCCGCTCGTGTCCACGTCCACACCACACATACCCCATGGATCTCTCGGCCCCTCCCTCACGCCAATGTAAAACCGCTGCGGCGCACAGGGCCGGCATCGTGTGTGAACAGACAAAACGCAATTAGGAGGGGAAGTTAGCCCCATCAAAGGAAGCAAGAAAACAATTGCCCAATGAAGGAAGAAAGATCCCCGTGACGACCCCGAAGAGAAGCCACACGCAAAAGGAAAAAAAAAGAAAAACAATTATAAATGAAAAAAGAAAAAAAAAGACGCCCCTCCACGGGCACGAGTTTGTCTGAAAGGATTGTGAATGCGTTCCATTGTGGACATAAACCTCCCACATTCACTGGGCCAGGGTGAGGCGAAGTCACACACGCACACACACACACACATCTTCGCACGCACGCCCTGCGCTGACGCCCTCTTCATTCGTCGTGCACAAGCCACACACAAAGTGAGGTGAGAGAGACGCAAATTCCTCCTTCCCTACTGCAGCTTCAGCCTCTCCCATGAGTCTGGGGTGGTGCCGGGAGCTCAGCGGGACTCAACGGACGGTTGTAAAGAAAGACGTTCGTCACGGTCAAGTTGGTCTTTTTCCCACGGTTGAGGGTGCCGTGAATGCCCGCGCCAAAGTAAAAGCCCACGATCTCTTCCTTCGCCGCAAAGTTCACAACTCGCCCCCCGGCTCCCTTCAGTGGCTTTTGGTCAATGTATATGGTACCCATACCGTTCTGCACAACGAGCGCCACTTGGTACGCTTGTTTCGCACTCCACCTGACTCCTGAAGACACCCGGTTTTTCCCGTACAGAGCTATCCATCTTCCATGGTTGTGGCCAAGCCCAAAACGCTTCTTCAATTTATCGGGAAGCCTCACCCTGACGCCTAAGACGGT